GAATTCCACTTACAGCTAGTTTAAAAATTACTCATAAAAGATATTGAAACATAACAATTGATATACTATATTTCAGACAAAAATGAACACATTAAATTGCTTTATTGTTTATATCTAATATAAACATGTATCTACTGTTTTTTTTTTCAAATATATCAATTTTCGTTTATGAAATGCAGTGGTGCTTCCCATAACCTACTTAATTCGTTCAGGAATAAAGTTCGTCATGTTGAACGTGTTTTTCCACGGTAATACATGCATAGAATATGTTACTAAACATAATACGTATTAGCCGCGTATTAGCGTATTAGCATAGTAGTAGCCGCCGAAAATATATTTTACATGCATTAACTCATTTAAAATAAAAGGAATTATTACCAATTTTGTTTTCACGACGTTTGAAGCCATTCTCAATCGAATGAGACCAAAATTGGGAAAAGTGTATGTGCGTGTGAACAGATTTTTTACCTTAAATCGACGTTTTCTCAAAAACGCCATTTGATATATCTCGATGAAAACTATCGTTCGTCGATATTGCGCGACGATCCGCTAAGCCGTTTCTTTGTAAATCGCAGAAAAGTGAAAAAAAATTTCGTCCCTCAATTCTGAATCGATTTAAAAAAATCAAAAACTGTTTGAAAGATATTTGGGAATGATACTGATTAATTTTAAATTAGTTCTCATTTAACTGTTAAAAAAATCGATTTTTATGGAACTTTTTGACGATATCATAGTTTTATAGAACATACTGAAATATTACGGCCCTACGACAAGTAGTTTGATCTTAAAAATTCATCAAAGTTTGAAAAAGTGTTATAGTCGAAATTAAACTGACAATTAAGGCAAATTGCTGAAACTTCCAGTAGCGCAATAGAATTGTGGGAGTAGTAATGTATATGAAAGTATAAACTCCACTTGAATAAAAATATATAAAATTTATTGATTATAAAAATTAATGATACAAAAATATCTGACAAGTCCAATTGTTTTTTTTTCTACAATCACTAGCCTGCTTGATTTCCCCACAAAATATTCGTAGAATACTAAATGTTTTTAAAAATATTATTGTAAATGTAACTTTCATTATTCGTATATTATGCATAGAATATGAGAGCTTATAAATTGGACGATGACGTTTATATATGTTTACATGAAAAGTAAAAGAACAGAACTTGATGAAGGGAGTTAGCAATATGCGAAGGGATCCTTTATTCTTTATATACTAAATTGCAAAGTTAAAATTATTTAAGTATATAAGTGAGCTTTAGAATTTTAGCTAAAATTAAAATAAAATTAAAATTCGAATTATTTTTGATATTAAAAAAAAATTAGAAATAAAAAAAAATTAAATAGAATTTTTTTTGCTTTCCCCAAAATCGTGTCGTCAATACAAGCAAAACGTTTTTAAATCATTCAAATCGAATGTTTTGTTCTTTCAATAACTGCCATTTTTTGCATATACAGTTTCGTATCTCCGGCTGGACCTGTCTTTGCCAAATGCTAAGCACCACCACTCGTTTTTGAATAATTCAAATCGGATGGTCTGTTCTCTCAAACTTTTTGCTCCGTATCCAGCATCGAAATACGACAGTACCCCGAAAACGCCGACGAAAAATTGTATTCATACATACATACACAGATGCGCAAACACATACACATCAATTTTTTCTTAGGTATATCAAAATGTTCAGAAACTTTCTAAACGCAAAGATGTGCAAAAAATTCATTTTCGTTTTTAGGACTTTAACAATATCTTATTCTACGCCGGGAAGTTAATAAATTCTTGATAAGAGGATTGAAAATATTCAGTTGCAGTTCAACTCCAATATTTGCATATACGAGTATTAAATCTACTGGGACATTTTTTTTACAGTTATATAATTAAAAGTCGCTTAAAATTGAAATTCTGATTATTGTAAGGTTTATAAAAAAGCATGGTGCGCATGAATCTACTATGATTTGGAGAGAATTTGCTTAAACAATTTAGAAGGGTTTGGCTTTTTAATGCTTTTTAGGCCCCAATTTATAATTTTTGTTTTAATTTATTGGAACCAATTAGCGTGTAACCTGCTCAAGCCTTCACCGCCAAAGCATCTTAAAAAAATAATTTGCAATGATTTACTACAACAAAAAACATAATATCTAAGAAGGTGCTATCGCAGGATAGCGATCCTTCTCACCCCGCCAAATAAATATAGCTCTAAATTAGCTGAATATACTATGTGTATAGTTTGCTAAGTACAATAAAAAAAGAAAAAAATATTAGAAATCGGAAAGTTTCAGTATTTGTCTTAAGGCACAGTGCGATACACTACTAGCAATTTATTTTTGTTTAGGTAATGACAGCTGATCGTCGGGAATATAGTCGGGTTTCAAAAAGTTTTCCTGATACAACACTACCGCCTCCACAAATGGGAGATTCTCAGTTCCCTTCGACTCACATGTCTGAGCCTTACTATGAACCAGATCCTTACTTCAATACTTATGAGCCGACACAGGATTTACAATGGGGTAAACACAATTTTTATGTAATTCATAAATATTTTTATGTGAATGTTTAAAACCATTTAGTGTAGTTTGGAATTTAGAAAATCCATAATAATCTCTGTAATACATTATAAACTGAATATTCGTCTATGCACAGATGGAATTTGCTTTTTATAGCCTTGTGTCGCCAATATTGAAATGTGGACCCACTGAACAGTATGTTATGTATTGTTAGTTTTACAACAATTTTCCAAACGTAAATGAAATGATACTGTTCATAAATTAAAAGCTGATTAGTTGAATATTTATGTGGATGGAAAAGAATATATATAATTATATTTGTTACACATTTTATAGTAAAATCAAAATTAGCTTTCTACATTTATTTGCACATTATATTATGTACAATATTTATTGTATAGAATAATTATATTCAAATGCAAACATTTTATTGCTCATATTTTAATAATTAGTGGTTGTACAACATGTTTTGTTTTTCAAAGGAGATTCAAACTGGACCCCTTCGGATCACATGAAACAGCTAACTCCCGGAATGAATATGGTGCCTGTAGCACCCCCACCAATAGGAGGTCCCGTATCACAGATGGTTGGGTCTCATATGCGCATGCCTCCTCCTATGGGTGGACCACCGATGATGGTAATGCCTCCACACATGGTGGGTCAAAGGCCACCACTAAGAGCACCAATTTCTCCTGTAAGTTTAGAACCAGATTATGCTAAGATTGAGTGCAAAATTTTAGCTTTTTTAAAGCAATTTAGTTTAGCTTATTTTACCACTAATTTTATCACTCTGACCTATTATAATTTCTTGATATATTTTACCATCTGCCACAACTATTCCAGGTTACATACTACACATTTAAAGTTTTACATATCTTTAGATGTTTCAAATGTCTACTTTAATATTACAAGACCATTTATATTGATACATGATGTAAATGTTGCCTAAATTAAATGTTCAAGAAAGAGAATTTATAAACAGATATATATTACTCGTCGCTATTGCGTTCATATTCAGACTACGCCGATTAAAACTTCATTAGTTAGCATTTGCACTCAATAGCAAAGATAATCTTTTGTGAATATTAATTGACAAACATTTATTTATAGACAATATTATAACATTTACAAAAAAAAAAAATTGAAGATTTCAATATATGACTGTTATTTTACAAGTCGCTGATGCGGAAAGTCACTGTAATCAATGTACATGAAAAAAGTAAAAACAAGGGAATGAAAATCATTGAGGTTTGGATTATAAAATCACTAAAATATGCGGCCATCATAGACCTAATATGTACTATAACATAGTAAGGTCTATGAAGCACATTTAATTTTATAGCAACAATGTATTAGTAAAGCTATTGCAACACCATATTTGATGCTTGGGAATGCTTCTCAAGTTAATTTTATTCATTTTGTAAAACATTTTCTGCATAAAAGAAAAGCATAAGTAGGATTCTTTTACATTACTTTAGTGTCTTTATAAATTGAATAACATAGATTTAACAAATTGTTTGTTTAATAATTACAGGATAGCAGAGACAGGGATAGATCTCAAACTCGAGATCGGGAAAGGTCTCGAGACAGAGATATTGACAGATCACGAGACAGATCGCGCGAAAGGGAAAGAGAAAGAATGGAAAGAGATCGTGAGACAAGAGATAGGGACCGGGATAGGGATAAGGATAGAGAAAGGGAGAGAGACAGAGATAGGGAGCGGGATAGAGATCGTGATCCACGTGAACGAGATCTTCGCGAAAGAAGCGTTAGGCAAGAAGATGCAGAACATTCACCTTCGCATGATAGAGAAGATAGAGGTCGTTCATACCGAGACAGGTAATTAATCACACTTAAATGCTTTTTATTCTTTTCAAATTTCAAATAGTTTAATACTAGTAGTACATTTATTGAACCTCATCATTTCTACTATATAGTGTATTAATATCAAATTATAATTTTTGTAAACAAGAATTGGCTCCCTTTAGAAAATGTTTTTACGGGAAACAAAATAGTTCACATATCTTCATAAAGACAAACTTGTTGTCTTCTAGTTCTTATTTCTGACATGTGCGAAATGAATAGTTATTATTTTGAATCTCAATTCTAATGTTTTAAAGGCTCAATGTTTTAAATATATCTTTAAATTATGTTTTATTTTGATTTGGCATTGAGTAAGTCAATAAGATAAAATATTTCAGATCACATCGTAAAGAAAGATCAAGGTCCAGGGAAAGGTCAAGACGGCGTAAATCACGATCACGATCACCCTCACACAGAGTGCATAAAAAGAAGAAATCAAGCCATCGTAAAGAAAAAGATGACAGTGATTAATGCCATTCTAAATGAATATTGTAACTAGAACTGCGTTAATTAAATAAATAATAAACAATTTTGATAGTTTTATTAATTTAATTTATTATTAAGTTTGACATCAAAATTTTTGTTTAAATCTATAACTAACAAGTAACAATCGAGTAATAAGCCTTTAAAATTGGTCTATATCACATTTTTAACAAATTATAATTACATTTGTAGGAATTTTATGGCTTATTTCAATGATCATTGGATGTCGCAACAGCTGTATTTGCTTGATTTATTTGTAGCAAATTATCTTTGCTTGCTAAGTCAAACTTCCAATGTCGTTTTAGCTCTGGGTAGTCAGTGCGTAAATACTGCAAGAAAAAAAAAAAATCAGACTGTAATAAACAATATAGTTGGTATTTTAATAACACACATTTTTGTAAAATTTTGTGCCGTGTGTTCGTGTTATTGTTAATCCATGAATATCTGCAAAAGTAATTGCTAAATGGAGTCTTGAATATGGGCATTCTCTCTGCATATTAAATATTCTTGAATTTCGCTTTATGAAGGTGCACATCGGTGTTGCTGTAGTACTTAAAAAACGGGCATATGGCTGTTTCACAGACTGCACCTGCAATTATTATTTTTATTATATCCTAAAGTAATTAATTAATGCAAATATTTAATAAAAAACTGATTTTCTAATAATAAATTAGTGAAGCATCCTAAGCTAATCCACCTACTACTACACTACATATTCACAAGCACATCTTACATTGTCTATAAACACGGTTTTTAATGCATGATTTTCTGAGTGAAAATTTAACTCGTACAAAAATTTTTGTGCTACTTGATGATGAGCAACCATTTGTACCCATGCTCGCAATGTTCCTGTAAGATACAAATAAACATAATATTATTTATGTATAACAATTTAAGAATTAACAAAACTGCTTACCATCAAATTGATCATTATGAATTATTAAATAAAATAGGCCCATATCTGATATTTGCATAGCAAAAACTTGGCGAAGTCCTGGTATCCATAAAATGTCCATCACACGAGTAAAAGTTGAACCATCTTGAGTAGATGACTGAAAATAAACACTAGTGAGTAATAATATTCTAACCAAAATATACTTTTTTTTAAGTTACTTACTTCACATAGAGCCTCTTTGTGATGGTTCTTCAAATGAACAAGAGTGTGGCACACTGGCAAACTTGCTTTACAAAAACTGATTTTACAGGGATAATACCCTGGTGATGCCGACGGTGGTGCCCTTCTTCTAATTTTATTGACATTATTCACATCTGATTTATTATTAGTTTCACCTTTAATCTAAATTTATTTTATTTAATTAATAGTTTATTACATTACTATACCAAATTTACTTACATTTGAACGTTTCATTTTCTCAATTAATTCTTCCATAACATAATTTCTTGTGCCATAAAATAAGCCACGACATACAGGACAATTTGTAAGTTTTCTTCGGCAATTTTGGCAAACTGCGTGGCCCTGTTCACATTGTTGTATGGCTCCATTAGGCAGTTCGAAACAAACAGGACATTGAAGTAGTTCTTCAAAATTCATCTATTTACAAATAATTGATGATACATTGAAATAAAATAAAACGTACAAAAATATAATACTAACTATATTTTAAATACCTTCAAATATGTGCTCAAAATATTTTCGTTCACTTCCAAAAATGAAATAAAACTGCTAACAAAAAAACAAATTTTAAACCTTTTTTATACGACACGTAAATTAAAATATCACAAAGTCAGAGCTCGAAAACGAAACAAAAACAAACTTCACTTGTTGACTACTACTTCTACTACCACTTTGAAATAAAATTGTAAATGTCTATCAATGTTGCCAACTTGACCGTAAAGCAAGCATGGCCGGTAATCTCCGAACCATAGATAAAAGAAGAGTATATGCTCCGCACATAGACAGAGTATATGGCTCCGAACTATACGTTTATGTTTATTTATCTATGGACGTTTTTCTACCCCGATTTTTACGTTCAGAAGGGATACTTAAAGGGTCCTCCGCTCAGACGTAAGAGTGCTGCGGTGCGGCTTTTGGCATTCAAATTATTGGCGCAAAATTTGAAATGAAAATTAATGAATTTTAGTAATCGGAGATTTGAAACTAAATTTGGTATTACAATTATATTATGTTCTGTAAAAATGACAAACATATACTAGATAATATTATATAATAATAAATATACAATCAAATCAAAATATAAACTAACAAATTGACGACTGCCGGTTTAAATATACATTACATCTAATTTACTGGAATAACATCTACACTTTTTCTACTTATTAATATATTAGTGAAATTTAGTGAATAATGCATCATAGTGTTAGTTCATTACATCGTCTGCCATCCTTAACTCTTACTAACTAATAATCACCCCGGGCAAAATTTGACATTCTTAAGCAATTAATTTTTTTCCAAGTATATTCAGATCCGTGTGAAGTGGAAATCCAATCTTAAACAGTTGGAAGCTTTCTAAATATTTTGTCTTTTTTGTAGTATATATATAGTAAATAAATTCCTACAACTGGTCTCTTTCCTTCAAGCGTAATATGATTAGAATCATGTTAGACTAATCTGTCAATGCACTACGTAGTATTCATGTCCCGTATCTGAGTTTGAAGCTGTTCTATTCATTTTGTCAAAGGGCTATGCGTTTGAGTGCAATTCTCAATTTTATTAAGAAATGTATAAATATAAACAAACAGGAAACACAATTTATCAATTGATACAAAAATAACACTGACGTTTCTTAGTAGGCAACATACAAACTTTTTTTTTATTATTATTATTTTAATAATTTTTACAACTGTCCTGAAACGGACAACAAAGTAAAATATTTGACAATAAACTGAAGGTGTTGGCAAAATACAAATCATCTGACCATTGCCAGTGATTTGTCGAAGGTCTTATCTATTGTTGATTAATGTAACGGAAATTTTCTTTTCAATCGGGCCCTGTAGACTTGTTTTTTATGTTTATTTATCTTTGCTGATAGACTTGTTCTGAAGATTTTTGGCAAGCAAGTTCGGGTGATCAGCTAGACGATTTCTATATTTGTGTGGGTAAGTAATTATTTCATTTTTAACTGTGCTAGTGCTAGTGCTTGTGTCTTTGTGGTATTAACATAAAACATTTGACAATACTTTTTCATCGGTTCACTAGCGCTAAATTTGCAACTACCATAGGACCCCTAAGTAGCCCTGAGTCACAGATAAAAGTTTCGTTCCTACGTTTTTTCGATCAAATCCAATGCCGGTCATGGGGAGTTATCTTCGAACAAATGCGCGTTGCACTGTTTTGGTCCTGAGTAGTTTCAATTTTTAAAAACAGGTGGCTCATGTGCACTCAATTTCAACTACAAATTGTTCGTGGTTCATGCAAGTGGCTGTCAAGTATTTGATCGCTGTATGGCTGTACGAATAACCTAACTTTTTGAACTCGTGTTGTTTCTAATTAATTAATTTTGTTTAAGTGAACATTTGTGAAATTTAATATGGCAAAGTGTTTTTATAGTACCCAAAAAAGTGTCAAGTGCGGGTTAAAATATTTAGCTATTCCAATACAAGTTTCCGCAAAGGTATTTTTTAATAATAATTGCAGCAATAATTATATATATTCAAGATATGTCAACATGTTATTATATTGAATAGGTGTCTTGGGGGTACCTGCAAATTGCTGCAAAATGCACGAACAAAGCGCAGGAGTACTTTTGACAACCAAGGAATGCAATATGTAATGACAAGAAGGATTCATAAACAATGCAATAATTTAAGGAATAAGTCGTACAAAAAGTCTCCAAAGGTCTACTATTTTTGGAGACAAATATTTATTTGCCATGTCCTCAAACATTGAGAAAGTTGCATTCAGAGATACAAGTGTATAGCGGTATTTATGAGTGTCTATTTAAAACATTAGGTTCAGCTATTTCTTTTAAAAAGTATTAGTAGCAGATACTGAGTTTTGATGTTTGATGAAATACCATTATCTTCGGAATTGTTATATGATTGGATTGAATCTCATATTGTTGAAGTTGCAAAACAGTTATTCAGCTAGTATGGTTTAAATGTTCATCAACGTAAGTTCATTGTTATATTTAATAAGATTATCTATTACATTAGCAAATGTAAACACTTATAAAGAGAGTCTATACCATACATAATATTTTAATGTATTTTGATTGAAGATTAGTGTTATAATATTCTTTAAATAAAACTTGTGTAACATCCCAATATAATGTTTAAATTCAAGATATATTTGTTACCGACCTTGGGAATCAAAAATATTGCTTTTATCTTTTGATTCATAAACAATTGTATGTGCATAAAACATTATTCTGTTTATTGTAAACACTTTGTTGATCTTTCATGGCAATTTCAATGATAATGTTTTCATGATGGAACATGGCTAAATGTAATGTTATAAAACACTCGTACAGAAACTATTCGAAGGTTTTGTTAAATGCAACTTCAATATTAATTCATTAGATAGCGAAATAACTATTACATGCAGAATTAATAAAGAACAATGTCTCGTAAATGAGTTTTAATCCTAGGAATTTGAATTTCTCTCAATTTTAATATCAATATATATATTTTATGTTAATAGGACTTTTTTGTTTGTGAAGTATTTGTACTTTTTAACAAATTATTTGTTTTTTTCTTAACCCTTTAAATTTTTGTATTATTTGTCATTCTTTGCCTAATTTGTAATTTCATTGCGTGCTCCTGTGCTTGTAGTTTCTTCTTAGTTTTTAAGATTTTAATATATTAATATTAGTCATTAAGTAATTAATATTAGTCAGTTATTTGTGCTTAGTTTAGTTAAATACTTCTGTGATTTTCTTCACTTAGATATTTAGTTTTTGAAATATTATTTAAGCATAATTGTGAAATTATAATACTTTTATAATTATGTATAATAATAATTATATTTTCAAACATTCCATAACTGTAATTATAATTGTTAATATAAACATAATTTTAATTGTTCTTTAAACATATGTAATATCTTTGAAAATATATATTTTGTATTTCGTATGATTTGTTCTTATTTCCAATATTAAAAATTATTCAGTTTTTGGGGCTGTATACGATACGTACAAATTTAGAAGTGAAACCAGGGGTAATTTAAATATTATACATGTGCTGCCATCTATTTTTAAAAATTTGTATTTCAATCGAGGTAACGTCAAACCGCCAGACATAGCGATCTATTATACTTGTTTATCTATGATGCCGGTAATCATAGATAAATAAAGGTGCGTCCACACCTAACAAACGAACACGAACGAACATGTCAAACAAGAAAATACAAGAAAGAACGAACAAGAACACGATCGAACGCGAATAATTCCAAACTCTTATCTTCAACATATATGCTAAATGTCTGAGTATGATAACAAGTTTAATATTTACTTGTAAAGACTACCATTTTTTCTTTATTGCAGCTTCTGACGTCCCAAACGTTTTGCCTACACTTTCCCAAGCATCGTTCAAAATTTTCAAAAATTCTAAATTTTCAAACTGTACACAATAATCACAAGTGAATATTAAAACAAAAATGTTCGTTTGCGTTCTGTGAGACGTCCACACTGCAAAAACGAGTACCAACATGAACGAACAATTATCTTTGATGTCCCGACAAGTTGCGGAACATTGCTCGCCATGTATGCTTATGTTCGTTTGTTATCTTTGTGGCGTCCACACTATGCTGTTGCCGTTCGTTCTTTTTTTTTTATTATTTTAATAATTTTTACAACTGTCCTGAAACGGACAACAAGTAAAATTTTTGACATGAAACTGAAGGCGTTGGCAAAATACAAATCATCTGACCATTGCCAGTGAATTGTCGAAGGTCTTATCTATTGTTGATTAATGCAGAAGAAATTTTCTTTTTAATCGGGCCCTGGTAGGGTTGTTCTGAAGTTTTCTCGCGAGCAAGTTTGGGTGTTCAGCTAGGCGATTTCTATATTTGTGTGAGTAAGCGATTATTTCATCCTTAACTGTGCTAGTGCCTGTGTCTTTGTGTATTAACCAATTTGGAACATATTTTGGTGCTTTCAAAATTTCTTTTAATAACTTGTTTTGAAATCTTTGAATTATTAAAGCGTTTGAGTTGGAAGTTGATCCCCATAGCTGTATGCCGTATGTCCAAATTGGTTTAATGATGGCTTTATAGAGGTAAATTTTATTATGAGTGTCAAGTTTTGATTTTCGTCCAAGGAGCCAATGATATCTTCTTCTGGTTTCTTCTAGCTGCTTTCTCTTTTTCTTAATGTGTTCTTTCCAGGTTAGTCTCTTATCCAGGTGTAAACCTAGATATTTTACTGTGTCTGTTTGATCTATAATTTCGTCATTAAGTCTTACTGCAGGACAAGTCCCTTTGCAAAGAGTGAAAGTGATGTGTTTTGACTTGCTGCTGTTAACTTCTATTCTCCACAAGCTTAACCATTTTTGTATCACGTCAAGATGATCCTGCAGCATTTTTGATGTGATTATGGGATCTTCATGTGTTGCCATTATGCCTGTGTCGTCTGCATATGTTGCTGTCAAAATGTCTTCTTTCTGTGGTAGGTCCGCAGTGTATATGAGGTATAATAGTGGCCCAATGACACTACCTTGAGGCACTCCCGATCTGACAGGATGTAATGAGGATGTTTCACCCCTTACACTAACAAAGAATGTTCTACCTTCTAGGTAAGACTTTATTATTAGGTATATATCAATCGGCAATGCATTTTTTATTTTGTAAAGTAGGCCGGGGTGCCACACCTTATCAAAT